TTTTATGTATCATCTGTTTGGAGGAATGCTGAAAAAGTGAAGCCTAAGTAAAAGCAGTTCCCTGATGAACATGAGGCTTCTTGCTCTTCCCTGTCTCCCTAAACCAATCCATGTTGCCAGTACATGTATGCTCTAGTGCCAGCTAGCTATGCATATGGTCTTGTTATGGATAAATGTTGTTGTTGTTTAGTCGTTTAGTCGTGTCCGACTCTTCGTGACCCCATGGACCAGAGCATGCCAGGCACTCCTGTCTTCCACTGCCTCCCGCAGTTTGATCAAACTCATGCTGGTAGCTTCGAGAACACTGTCCAACCATCTCATCCTCTGTTGTCCCCATCTCCTTGTGCCCTCCATCTTTCCCAACATCAGGGTCTTTTAAAGAAGGGTTTGGTTAAGGCCACAATCACACTGAGGCTCACCTGCACGAAAATCTCCTGCGCATAATAGCTGCTTGTTCCAACAGCCGCTTAAGTGTTAGAATATACAGTGGTACCTCGGGTTAAGTACTTAATTCGCTCCAGAGGTCCGTTCTTAACCTGAAACTGTTCTTAACCTGAAGCACCACTTTAGCAAATGGGGCGTCCCGCTGCCGCCACGCTGCTGTTGTGCAATTTCTGTTCTCATCCTGAAGCAAAGTTCTTAACCCGAGGTACTATTTCTGGGTTAGCGGAGTCTGTAACCTGAAACGTATGTAACCCGAGGTACCACTGTACATGTAATTTTCAGAATTTTCAGTTCCAATCTGCTCATAGAGAGGGCCCGTACCTGCTGTGTCCCCCACATCGTGTCAGCTCCGCTCCCTTCCAACATCTGCATTTGGCAGGCCATTGAAAAGGGGAGCCTCTTTGTGTATCTTTCCCCATTATTATTCTTACTAGTTGTAGTCGTCTTCTTTCTTGGCAATCACTTGTAGCCAAGTAAGATAGTAGTACCAGATGACTGGGTTGCCCCAGCTGCTCTGGGTGGCTTCCAGCACATATAGAAACATAATAAAACATCACACATTAAAAAGCTTCCCTATACAGGCCTTCAGATGTCTTCTAAAGATTGTATAGCTCCTTGTCTCCTTGACATCTGATGGGAGGATGTTCCACTGAGTGGGTGCCACTACCGAGAAGGCCCTCTGCCTGGTTCCCTGTAGCTTCGCTCCTCACAGTGAGAGAACCGCCAGAAGGCCCTCGGTCCTGGATCTTGGTGTCGGGCCAAAAGAACAAAGAATATCCGCTTGCTTGTATCTCAAGGCATCTGTGTGAGCTGTGTGGTTGTGCATCTTTGCCTCGGTTTCTCTTCACCACTGCCCATGGGTGTTCAAGATATAACACTAGATTGGAGTCTACTGGCAGTCCTCAGGCCAGGGGCATTTGCCAGGGGCGAGAGGAATTGTGGGCACCTGCTCATTTATTCCTGATGTTGTGCTCTAAGAGTCTAGAAGCACACCTGGTTGGCATTGCATTTCTGTGTAGCCACATGAGGATGCCAGCACATCCTTTTGCAGCAGGACATGTGACACTGTCATTGTGGCTGCATTCTCTGTGTTGGTCACCATTATATTAAGTGACAGGTGACAATTCCTCTCAGAATTTGTTCCTCCCCACCCAGTAATTTTCCCTTCAAATCTTAGCCTCCAATAAGAACATGCACCATATGAATACATTATTTGATGCTGCAGATCTTCTTCTTCGAGAGGGGGAGATGATATTCAGCACTTCTATTTCCCCAGACACTTGATTGGCAGCAGCCAGGAAGCTGAGGTTTGGTCAGTGCTCTTTAATATAAAAGAGAGCCAGCTTTTGAGTCCCCAGAAACATTCCAAGCTGATTAAAGCAAGATTTCTTTTTCAAACATGAGGCTAGCCTGCAAGCATTTATAACACTTTGCTCTGAAGTAATATTTTAGTCGTGAAGGCATTGTGAAGCAGATGACTTCAATCAGTAGGCTTGTAATGCTTTTCGTTCGCAGACTGCCTTGAAATCAAACTGGGCGTATTTGAAATGCCAGATGTTTTTTTAGAATTTTTAGCAACTGACATCCAGAAACCTCTTCTTGGCTACATTTCAAATGACCTATGTGTCTTACTTTCTTCCATGATTCCATTTATGGATAAATTGATTCCATCCTCTTTAAAAAAAGAAGGAGAAAAAGCATGCAGGCAGATTTCTTATACTTTTGAGTATTGAAAGGCGAGCTTGGTGTTCAGTCAGAATTCCACACAGGTGTAAAGCATTATTTAGCAATTGCAACACACACTTTTGGGTAAGTGGTAATGATAATTATGAATATTATGTCTGAAACCCTTTCACCTTGAAGCTTGCTGCTTTTACTTATGCAGGGGCAAAAGCCTGTGTCCCCTCATGAATAGCCAGCCAAAGGCTTGCAGCCTATTACTCATTTTCATGAAAACTGGCCATTTCTTTTCTGCTCAACAAATCTGCTTGCTGAAGCACTCTTGCAGAACATAAATTTCATGTGGTCTTTTCTTTCTATATTGATAGAAATGTAAGGCTGTTGTCACACCAGGCTGTTGCCTAGTAGCCAGTAGGTGGCCACATCAACTCCAGCAGAACAAATGTCTGGCAGGCAAGCAAGCAAGCACCACTGGTGGCAGGTGGCCCAGGCGAGCTGTTCAACAGAGGCAGGAGGTGTTACATAGTGGCTTGCTAAACCGATGGAGGGGGAAGCTGATTCAGTAGGGCTGGGCGATATCTGGTTTTCAACATCGCAATATATATATCACGATGTCTGAAATAAGAATGGAACTATGTAGAGGTGAATGGTATGGTTGGGTGATATCTGGTTTTGAACTTTGTGATATATCGCCAGCTAAACAGTGTGATATACTGAAATATCTCAATGTGATATATCACCAGCTAAACAGTGTGATATACTGAAATATCTCAATGTCTGCAATAAGGATAGACCTGATTTTCAACTTTGTGGTGTATCACCAGCTAAACATCGCAATATACTGATATATCACAATGTCTGAAATAAGGACAGAGCTCTGTAGAGGCATTGGCTGGCTTCACAGCTTATGCCACATTGTGATATTTGCCTACCACACCCGCACCCACATCATGATTTGCAATATATTGCCAGAATCATAGAATCATAGAATCATAGAATCATAGAGTTGGAAGAGACCACAAGGGCCATCGAGTCCAACCCCCTGCCAAGCAGGAACACATCAGATCAAGGACTATGACAATGATACTACAATAATAATAATAATAATAATAATAATAATAATAATAATAATTATTATTATTATTATTATTATTATTATTTATTATTTATACCCCGCCCATCTGGCTGGGCCTCCCCAGCCACTCTGGGCGGCTTCCATAAAAACCAAAAATACAATAAAATCACACGTTAAAAACTTCCCTGAACAGGGCTGCCTTAAGATGTCTTCTGAATGTCAGGTAGTTGTTTATCGCTTTGACATCTGCTGGAAGGGCGTTCCACAAGGTGGGCGCCACTACCGAAAAGGCCCTCTGCCTAGTTCCCTGTAGCTTTGCTTCTCGCAATGAGGGAACTGCCAGAAGGCCCTCGGCGCTAGACCTCAGCGTCCAGGCAGAATGATGGGGGTTGGAGACGCTCCTTCAGGTATACTGGACCGACGCCGTTTAGGGCTTTAAAGGTCAGCACCAACACTTTGAATTGTGCTCGGAAACGTACTGGGAGCCAATGTAGGTCTTTCAAGACCGGTGTTATATGGTCTCGGCGGCCGCCCCCAGTCACCAGTCTAGCTGCCGCATTCTGGATTAGTTGTAGTTTCCGAGTCACCTTCAAAGGTAGCCCCACGTAGAGTGCATTGCAGTAGTCCAAGCGGGAGATAACCAGAGCATGCACCACTCTGGCGAGACAGTCCGCAGGCAGATAGGGTCTCAGCCTACGTACCAGATGGAGCTGGTAAACAGCTGCCCTGGACACAGATTTGACCTGTGCCTCCATGGACAGCTGTGAGTCCAAAATGACTCACAGGCTGCGCACCTGGTCCTTCAGGGGCACAGTTACCCCATTCAGGACCAGGGAATCCTCCACACCTGCCCGCCTCCTGTCCCCCAAAAACAGTACTTCTGTCTTGTCAGGATTCAACCTCAATCTGTTAGCTGCCATCCATCCTCCAACCGCCTCCAGACACTCACGCAGGACCTTCACCGCCTTCACTGGTTCTGATTTAAAAGAGAGGTAGAGCTGGGTATCATCGGCATACTGATGAATACCCAGCCCAAACCTCCTGATGATCTCTCCCAGCGGCTGCATGTAAATGTTGAAAAGCATGGGGGAGAGGACAGAACCCTGAGGCACCCCACAAGTGAGAGCCCAGGGGTCTGAACACTCATCCCCCACCACCACTTTCTGAACACGGCCCAGGAGGAAGGAGCGGAACCACTGTATGACAGTGCCCCCAGCTCCCAGCCCCCCAAGACGGTCCAGAAGGATGCTATGGTCGATGGTATCAAACGCCGCTGAGAGATCCAGCAGAACTAGGAAACAGCTCTCACCTTTGTCCCTAGCCTGCCGGAGATCATCAACCAGTGCGACCAAGGCAGTTTCAGTCCCATGATGAGGCCTGAATCCCGACTGGAAGGGATCCAAATGGTCCGCTTCTTCCAGGCGTGCCTGGAGTTGTTCGGCAACCGCTCGCTCAATCACCTCAATATGGACTTCAAACTGGTTTTGGCCGATATATCGATCTATCACCCAGCCCTGGTCCAATCATATGTTTCTTATTTCAGTGTCCTGCTATCACCACCGCTATCACAAAGCCAAATGCATTAAATAGCCAGCTATTATTCAGAAATTACAGGGCTAGGAAGAAAGGTGTGAAGCTTCCATGATGCAGCCTCAAGTGAATTATTTTCCTGAAAGTTGTGATCTCCCCCTGCCTATATCTTAGATAGATTTTTGGAAGTTTGCCAGTTGAAGCACTCTAAAAATAATACTATGTGCCTTGGGAAATATATTTTTTAATTCTGTTCTTTTCTTTTTTCTAGATGGGCTTAGGACATGAAGAAGGATCTGGGGCTCCTTGCTTGAAGTGCAAAGACAAATGTGAAGGATTTGAGCTACATTTCTGGAGGTAAGAAGAGAGGTTTCCTGATTTACCGAAACATTTCTATTGCAGATAAGCATATCTGCACAACACAGGCCTCATTCGACCACAAACAGACTCGTTCAGACATAAACTTAACTACATCACACATATGGACAAAATTGGGGAAAATTAACACATGAAGGAATTGATTCTGATTAGAACAGCAAGAGTGAGTTATGCTAGCCTTTTCAAGGATATGAGAAAGACGCCATACTATTCACTGCTATTGTGCACATATCTTGCCTGTGGGCTTTTCACAGGCTACTATGAGAACAGAATACTTGGCTAGGTGAACCTTTGGTTCCATGCAGTAGAGCATGGGTAGGCAAACTAAGGCCCAGGGGCCAGATCCAGCGCAATTGCCTTCTAAATCCAGCCCATGGACGGTCCGGGAATCAGTGTGTTTTTACATGAGTAGAATGTGTCCTTTTATTAAAAATGCATCTCTGGGTTATTTGTGGGGCCTGCCTGGTGTTTAGACATGAGTAGAATGTGTGCTTTTATTTGAAGTGCATCTCTGGGTTATTTGTGGGGCATAGGAATTTGTTCATTCCCCCACCCCCCCAAAAAAATAGTCTGGCTCCCCACAAGGTCTGAGGGACAGTGGACCAGCCCCCTGCTGAAAAAGTTTGCTGACCCCTGCAGTAGAGCTCTTAGATTCTTATGAGCATATAAATAAAATGTGGGTTCAGGCAAGCGAGGGCCAGTTCGCCCATGAGGAGAGTTGAGACCGCCCCAGGCGGCAGGGTCTACCAGGGCAGCTAATCCCATTGTCAATCTTCCTTTCTTTCCCTCACCCACCCTTGTTCCTGATGTGGCTCTTCCCTGACCCCCTTCCTCACTGGTCGGGAGGGAGGACGCCATTTTGAGGTCTGCCTCAGATGCCAAAATGTCTTGGGCCAGCCTTGAGGCAATTTAATGCTGTGTACAGTTGCTTACTTAGAAGTCAGATGATTTCCATTGGGCTTGCTTCCAATGAGTGTACAGTTTTGACTGTACAGTGAAGAAATGCTACTGGTGCTTGGTGTTGTTATAAAATTTAGCCGAGGAGCCAAATGTGTTGATACTGCATGCCATGGATTGAACAGTCTGGGACTTTCTGCATGCTGTGTCACTCCCCTGACCCCTGCTGGGCTACCTTGTCTCCCTTTCCAAAGTGTGTGTGTGAAAGAACCATACAGGCACCAAATCCTTGTGATGTCTGAGACGTTACCTATGAACCCCACCTTCCAGTTAATTACAGCTTGTAAGCCATATTGTGAGACACGGGTGGCGCTGTGATCTAAACCACTGAGCCTAGGGCTTGCCGATCAGAAGGTCAGCGGTTCGAATCCCCGCGACGGGGTGAGCTCCTGTTGTTCAGTCCCACCTCCTGCCAACCTAGCAGTTCAAAAGCATGAAATGCAAGTAGATAAATAGGTACCACTCTGGCGGGAAGGTAAACGGCGTTTCCGTGCGCTGCTCTGGTTTGCCAGAAGCGGCTTAGTCATGCTGGCCTAATGACCCAGAAGATGTACGCCAGCTCCCTCGGCCAATAAAGCGAGGTGAGCACCGCAACCCCAGAGTCATCCACGACTGGACCTAACGGTCAGGGGTCCCTTTACTTTTAATCTGTATTGTAAGCTTTATTACCATTGAGGATAAGAGGTGAGGGCGAATAATGAAAAAAGGAAATAAAATTGATTCCTTTCTAAACAACATAGATGAACCTTTTTGTGGGTTGTTAGGGCATCATCATTATTACCACCAGTTCCACCTCTCAGGCGGCTGCCACTGTCATAAGAGAACAAGGGAGGCATTGGTGGTGAGTTTCAGCACCAATTTTTCTAGAAAAACGGCACTGATTACCACCACTGTTGTTACTGTCACCTTTTTCCAAAGTTGTTGAGCCAGGGGGACCCCTTGGCAGAGGTATTATTAGTATATTAAATTTATATTTTGCCCTTCCTCCCGAAAGAAGCCCAGGTTGGCAAACAACAACTGACAAAGCAATAAAAAATTAAAACAATTCCAATACAGGTGCAGGCTGCAGAAAAAGCCTGAACCTAGAGGAAGGCATGTTGGAAGAAGAAAGTCTTCAGTAGGTGCCAAAAAGAGAACAGAGACGGGACCTGTTGAATATTGACAGGGAGGGAGTTCCGAAGGGTAGGTGTCAGAGCGCTAAAGGCCCGATTTGTATATTGTGTGGATGGGCCTCTTGATAAGATGGTACCTGCAAGAGGCCCTCACCTGCAGAGTGCAGTGATCAGCTGGGAATATAAGCAATGAGATGATCTTTCAGGTCATCACCATAATCATCATCATCTTTTCCCTAACTGTTCCCAATGGTTTTTTTTATTGGGAGTGGGCACCCATTTCAGATTCACTATTGCTGTCCTCACCTTTTCAACGTCTGGGCAACAGCAAGAAATGTTCCCAAGTTGTCTGGGGAGCAGGGAGCACAGTGCAAAGGCAGAAACATAATTATCATTTCCTCTAATTTTGAGACGGTCGCATTGATTAAGGTAAACTAATGGGTGGCGCCCCAAAAGGGCACAGATCATAAATCCACCACTGCATATTTTTAAAATACATGAATCAACATCAGCATTATTCCAGCAGACTAAATAAACACAAGACTCCCCATTCAGATTAATAAAGCCATTGGCTCGGAATTGTGATGATGGGAATTGGTGTGCATCCCAGGTTGAGCTCTGCTGAATCTGCCACCTTTCCCTTTGCAAGATAAACTGTGGCCAGAAGGGCTGGCTGTGGCCAGGATTCCTGCATTGCAGAGATTGAGCTACATGACCCTCAAACTCTACAATTCTATGGTTCTACATATATGTATTTATACATGACATATTTTTAAAAGTAGATCTCTGTTAGCTTCTCTAAATGTGAAGGTAGTTTGTCAGGAATTTCAGAATGACCCAGCCTAGACTCCCCCCCTGCAATCCCCCCATAGATAGATGACTCAGTGAAAATATGTGCACGAATGTCTCTAAAAAGCTTTCTGCAAAGCAAATATGCCTTTAGGGTCTGCAGTACAATTATGTTCTTTTCCACTAGATGGGAGTGTAACATCTGTGTGAATATAAAGCCAGCTGTGAATGGAAATCTGTTACACTGGAGCATTCTTGACATACCTGCCGGAAAATTCATATTGCCACTATGTAAAAACTATGGATATTGCATGTCTCTTATTGCATGTGACCTTGGCACATCTAGTGCAAGGTTCCGGATCATATTCTGCAGTAACATGAACCAATTGGTTCAGATCCTACCCTCTGAAGCAGGAGAAAGCAAGTTTGTTCCATCTTCCATGTGACAACCCTTTAGATATTTGAACACGGCTATCATATCTCCTCTTAGTCTCCTCTTTACCAGGCTAAACATACCGAACTCCCTCAGCCATTCCTCATAAAGCTTGGTTTCTAGGCCCTTGGTTGTGCAACCATGCAGATTTCTCCCAGAGATAAATTTCCCACATGATATGTCCATCTTGTATTGAAGCAGCAGACCACTGATCTATCCAGCTCAGTATTGTCTATGAGTTATGACATGCCACACTAGTAATGTAAGAGCCAGAGAGATGTTGTGGTTAGAGTGCTGGACTAGAACCAGGGAAACCCAGGATAGAATTGCCACTTGGCCACAAAGTAAACTGGGTGGCCATGGCCCAGTCAGTCTCTCTGTGTCTCTGAGTGGTTGAGAGGCTAAATGTGGTGAAGAGAGGCCCACATGCACCACCTTAAGGAAGTCAGAGGAAAGAAAGGTGTTGAGGCCATCAGGGTAGATCTTCAGGGCAGAAGTCCAGGGCCCCAAACACAGCAGGGTTGGCTTCCGAAATATGTAAGTAAGTGAAATACTGTAGTGCATATTGTTCTATGAAGGGGCAGCAGCATTAAGAGCATTCGGTCCATAGTCTTAAAACTATAGAACTGCTAATGAATATAGGATATTAATCTGCCCCTTTTGCTCCCAGATTATTTATACTAAGGAGGGAAGAGGAAAATGTATTCATGAAAACAAAGGACAGCACACTGTTGAGCTGCTCGTTCACATCAATGTTACCAGAGTAATATTGACGCTGCTGCCCACCTTCCCAGAATGCTCTTCTGTCCCACAGAGAAAAGGGCTATTTCCTCAGAAATGAAACAGCAAAGGAATCTGTCGTATTCATCATGTGACTTCACTAAGCTCCATTTTCAGCAGGGAAGGGACAGTTGAGGCAATTACTTCTAAGCACAGACAGTGACCCAGTTTGCGCGTAGCACTCAGCCAAGAGAAGAGATTGCAGCCCTTTTGCTCTTCCTCGCTGGTCTTGCTGCTTCTGTGAGCTAAGCCATGGTTTGGCTTAGCACATCATCAGAACCTGGGCTTGTGGTTTGTCTCGCTCCAGACAGTTGTGAGCTGCAACCAAGGTCGGTTCTTTGTTTACAGCTCAGCATTTGCCTGGAGAAGCAAAGCAGCTGTGGTTTCCTCTCCTTGAGTCTACACTTTCGCAGAATTATGGTTATGCCCTCCTGAATGATATCTAAAGCAGGATATCACTCAGTTTCTGTTTACTTATATGAACATGGCCTAATCAGTGCTTTTGTCTTGAATCACTAGGAAAATATGTCGAAACTGCAAGTGTGGGCAGGAGGAGCACGATGTTCCCACTAGTAACGAGGACGACCGCAAAGTGGGGAAGCTCTTTGAGGATACAAAATATACAACCCTCATTGCAAAGCTGAAATCGGATGGGATCCCTATGTACAAGCGCAATGTTATGATACTGACTAATCCAGTGGCTGCCAAGAAGAACGTGTCGATCAATACTGTGACTTACGAATGGGCACCTCCTGTTCAGAATCAAAGCCTGGTGAGCTATCATGATACAGTCTTGGAAGCTTTTATGAAAACTAGAAGAAGGTATCATTTTAACCAGGGTTTCCAAACTTGGGTCTCCAAATGTTGTTGTTTTTTACTACATCTCCCATCATCCCTAGTTAGCAGGACCGGTGATCAGGGATGATGGGAATTGTAGTCCAAAAAACAGCTGGAGACCCAAGTTTGGGAAATCCTGCTTTAAACTGAAGGAGGGGTGGATTGGAGTGAATAGAACACCCAGGATTGGGGCCATATTTTGATGTAAAACAAAAGGAAAATATAAATGGGATTATTATCTCAGTAACCCTGGTACCCCTCCAATTCCCATCAGCCTTCGATAGTATTGCCAGTGGTCCAAGACAGGAAATGTAGTCCAGTGCCTCTGGTTCTCCTGCTATAAGCCATGTAAACATAATGAAGTTGGGTCTGGTGGTCAACTCCCCTTGCAAGTCTCTGATTGCTGTAAAATAGTCACACAATGGAAATGGGATGATTGTGGATGCAAGAGGGGTGAGGTGGAGGAAAGAGGTCATGTTAATGGCTAGGATAAAGCATTGCATTAGAGATGTTCGCCACCACTTAGGATGATTTACGACTTCCCAGACGAGCCCTTTCAAGAATACTTCCAGAAACAGGACATAGCGTTGGAAAACCTGCACAATTTATGTCATTGTTTAAAAGCTGAAGAAAAGCACTCAAGCTTGCACATTTCTGTTACTGTATATGGTCAGAACAAATTCAGAGCTGGGATCCAAGCGAAAAGCTCCCCTTGGTTTATTAATGGCTCATCGAGATGCGATAGTTGGATAGCCTTGTTGGGCTTCCCCACCCAGCCTAACCCGTGCATGTTTCAATCTTGAGTCAAGTTTATGTAGTGTCTTGCTGGCTGATCTAAAGCAGAAGGCTGGAGATGTGTGTGCAGCTTTGTAATCATAAGAGGGTTTTAGGGATTTTCAAGGGGAGGGGGAGACTCCAGCTTGCAGAAGTAGTTTTTCTTCAGTTTTTCATGTATATCTTGCAGTGCTTCATTTCATTTTAAGTTATTTAAACAAGCTAAAAAGCCTTCGATCTCAGTTCCAACCCTCACATGCTGGTTTTCCTCTGTGAGAAAGATTGCAATTAGCAGTCTGAAAGCTCTTGCAATGTCAGGATCTGAAAAGATTCAGTGTTAGCTAAACATTGTTCAAGCTGTACTGCAGCGGAGTAAATGGCTGGGTTTTTTTGTTGTAAAGCATGCGCCTGCAGTGAGCTTCTGACTCTCAGTCCCAGTTACGTCCCTTCACTTTCGCTGTCCACTTCTTGGTATCTGTTCGCGCCGAAGAGTAACAACTTCTGCTAAGCCCTGTTAATCTCCCCTTAGTTGCTTTCCTCCCCGCTGCCGCCCTCCCCGTTTATAAAAGCAGGAATCCCAAGGGCATCTGATAAACTAATTCTTGCAATCCCTCCGGACTCTTTAGGCAAGACATTATATGCAGATGCTTCCCAAGGAGAAGCAACCCGTGGCTGGCTCGGAAGGTGCTCAGTACAGGAAGAAGCAGTTGGCCAAGCAGCTGCCCGCACACGATCAGGATCCGTCCAAATGCCACGAGCTGAGTCCTAATGAGGTGAAGCAGATGGAGCAGTTTGTGAAGAAATACAAGAACGAGGCGCTCGGGGTGGGAGATGTCAAGCTGCCGAGCGAAGTGGAAGGCAAAGCTGCCGGGAAGGATGTCCCGACTAATGGGGAGAGAGGCACCCCGGCCACCGTAGGAGCCATGGAAGACAAACTGGCTGGTCCAAAGGCATCCCAATATGTAAGTGGGCATATATGTCTATTTGTCTTCCTGTCTCTGTGTGTCTTGTGTGCAAACAGGAGCAGAACTGTCGGTAAAGGGTAGCAAAACAATGGGGTTTTGTATTATTTTAGCCTGGTATTTCACGCTGCAGCATCCTTTGCACAGGGTTTATTTATTAAGTGTTTTAGGTTTTTTTAAAAAAAACCATTGTTTCAGCCTGCTTGTTTTGTAAGCTAAGAGCAACAGGGGCAGAAGGAAAACCCCTCTGGGTCCTCCACTAAGGAAAACACAGTTTGTTCTAAAATGTGATTGTTCTGGGCCTTGGAGGTAACTCCTGGCTAAAGGAAACATGGAAATCATAAAATTTGTAGAGTTGGAAGGGACTACAAGGGTCATCTAGTCCAACCCCCTGCGATGCAGGAATCTTTTGCCCAACGTGGGGCTCGAACCCACAACCCTGAGATTAAGAGTCTCATGCTCTACCGACTTAGAAGCATGGCATTCCCTAGCTGGGACAGACCTCAGACACCATCTAGGCCAGGGGTGGCTAACTGCAGCTCAGAAGCATGATTCCCCTCCACCCAGAAGTTTTTCCTCACCCCAGATGATTTTGGCAGTGGCTCCAAAAAGAAAAGAAAATGGAACTCGGCACAGGGGAGGCAAGCCAGTTTAAACCTGTCCATCCCCCTGTTGGTCATGGTGCGACTGGGGAGTGAGTGGTAATGCATGCACACATCTCTCAGCTGACCTGAGCACTGCACATGTGCCTGTGTGCATTCAGGAGTGTGCGATAATAATTTTATTATTTATACCCTGCCCATCTGGCTGGATAGTGACCATGCCTACTTTGAGCCACAGCCAACATGGGCATGGGACCTTTGGAGGATTGGTCAAGGAAGAGTTCATCCCTTGGACCACAACAAGCCAGCCTGATCTACTCTGCCCCACATCTCAGTGAAGGAATCTTGCAGTCACAGCATCCCAGAAAGGATGGAATCGTAGAGTTGGGTCTCCCAAGGGTGCTCTAGTCTAACCCGCTGCAATCCGACATCTGCTTAAATTTCTCCTGTGATGAAGGGCCGGCTGTTTCCTGAACCAGCTGGGTTCTCTGTTGAACAGCTCTTCTCCTTGGGACGTTTCTTCTTAATACTTAGGCAAAGCCTGCCTAATTTCCACCCATGCGTTTTCTCCTTCAATCTGGAGCAAGTCTGCTCCATCTTCTACATGACAGTCGTGCAGCTTCTACCGAGATATAAAATGCTATATTTAGTACCTGCATGAAGATCAATATTTTTTGTCTCTTGGGATGGCCGGTGAGTCTTGCTATATTTAAACGAGAGCCATTAGTTCTTGGAAGAAGCAGTGTGTTGTGGGTTTCTTTTCAAGGTGAAAACTGACGAACCGTACAGAAAAGGAAAACTCCCAAGATGAAGAGGGAGGGACTCCTAAGTAGGCAGCCGGGGGGGAGGGAGATGGCACCCCCAATTAAGTTTAATGAGGAAAGGCCGCTGCTTGAAATCAAACTAATAAATACAAAGGCAGACATCTCATGGGTTCACTTACTGTTGGCAGAAAATATTAAGCCATATAAACAGCATTGATCCACTTATTACTTATAAGACTAAGTTAGAAGGAGCTGGCTGTAAATACTCCACACTGCTGAGAAGACTCCACCCCCTCTGGACTGTATTTAAGCCAGGCTGCTGTGGTCATATGGAGTCCCGAAAGGCCAGCACTAGTATATCTAACCTTATATTTACGTATTTATTTTGGGGGCAGTTGGTTTTCATTTAGCACTTTCCTTGTCATATATAAAGCCTATATTAGGCACTGTTTTACCTTGTTTGAATGTACTGATGTGTAAAATGCAAAGGTGATTTCACAATGATGTGAAATCGATATGAGACACAAACTGTTTTGTGCATTTGGGTCCCCCCCAAAAAATGTGTGTGTGTGTGTGTGTGTGTGTGTGTGTGTGTGCGTGTGTGTGTGCGTGCGTGTGCGTGTGTATGCATGCGCCAATGTGGGGGTTTTGTGAGCTGCCTTGGGTATAGTTTTTGCTGTGGAAAGGCTCGTCTGATGGATCTGAGCAGTTTTCTGTCTGCCTTCACTGCTTTCCCTGGGAAAACCCACTTTTTAGTACTGAGTTGGAGCAAACATCAATCTGCAGAAATCTGAATTACATTTGCTCCGGTTTAGCAGTCAAGATTGGGTTTTCCCAGGGGGTAGGTGAAGGTAAAAGGTAAAGGATCCCTGGATGGTTAAGTCCAGTCAAAATTGACTATGGGGTGCTGCGCTCATCTCCACTTTCAGGCCAAGGGAGCCAGCGTTTGTCTGCAGACAGCTTTCTGGATCATGTGACCAGCATAACTAAAGCACTTGTGGCGCAGTGGGGTAAGTGGAAGTCTGGATAAGCCCTATACATAAACTTTAAAATCCCTTGACCTCCTCGCAGTGCTGCTTCCGGTGCAAACTGAGCATGAAGGAAGGGGACCCGGCTGTCTACGCCGAGCGGGCCGGCTACGACAAACTCTGGCATCCGGCTTGTTTTGTCTGCTGCACCTGCAGCGAGCTCCTTGTGGATATGATCTACTTCTGGAAGAATGGGAAGCTGTACTGTGGCCGACACTACTGTGACAGCGAGAAGCCCCGCTGCGCTGGCTGCGATGAGGTAAGCAAGGTCCCCCTTCTGCTCTGCATCCATGGAAGAGGCCATGGAGAAAAGACCTGCCTGTAAAGATTTGCTGCCTTTTGACCAGGCCAAGGGAAGGGCCATAGCTCACTGGGAGAGCATCTGCTTTCCACACGGGAAGTGCTAGGTTCAATCCCCGTCATCTCCAGGAAGAGCTGGGAGAAATCCCTGCCTGAAATCCTGTAGAAACCAGCATTTCTCAAACTTGGGTCCCCAGCTCTTGTTGGACTACACCTCCCATCATCTGTGACCACTGGCGCTGCTAGCTAGGGATGATGGGAGTTGTAGTCCCAACAACCCAAGTTTGAGAAACACTGCTATAGATTATACTAGATAGACCAATGGCCTGATTCTGTACAACGCAGCTTCTTCCATTGCTGTCCCTTTAGCCCAGCATTAGGATTTCACTAACAAGCAGGGCATGATGGTGAAAGGCAGCACCTGGCCTTAAAAAGTATACATCAGGGACATGACTCCATTACCCAAGGCAGAGAGGATGGGAAAGCCATCCATTCTTCTCCCGCTCTGGTTTTTAATCTGAAGGGAAATAAATTTGGCAGCTTCTAAAGCTGGCTTCTCCTTTTGAGGTGGGCTTGAATGAACCCCCAGATTTCTTTCCCGAGCTTTGCTCAGGAGCACTTCACCAGCATCTCTTAGTCCTGAGCTGTGCAGGAGCTATAACTCCTTTTACCTGTAGCTCAGCTTGTGGGTCCTCCTGTCAAGGGTTTGCCACAACCCCTGGAGCCTCTTTCTTTGTGTCCCATTTGCACTGTTCGTACACTACCCTCATTTTCTCAATACCTGGAAGGCATTCCTAGGGACATAATATCCCTGCTGCATCAGGCCAGAGGCCCATCTAGTCTAAGGTTACCAGATTTTTTTCAATGAATCCAGGAACACTTTTCAACTTCAGTAGATTTTGTATGGGGACTGATTTGTAAATCCAGGGACTGTCCCCGGGAAACGTGATTAACCTTAATCTAGTCCATCATCCTGTTCTCACAGAATACCCATGGGAAGCCCACAAGCCATTCCTTTTTTCTCTGGGAGAGTCAAATCTCTACTTTTTTGCATTCGCTGCTTTTGACAGAGATCTCCAAGAGGCCCTGATGAAAAGGGCAGGGAACAGAACGATGAATGCAACAAGCTGAAATGCTCGGTGGAGCTGTTTCATATGGCCGAAAGTGTGTGTTTCCTTAGCATTGTAAAGCATTCTAGAACAAAATACCGGGGTGGTTGTATTGAATGTGTACCTCCCTTCCTTGTATCCCTTCAGCTTATATTCAGCAATGAGTACACCCAGGCCGAAGGTCAAAGCTGGCATCTGAAACACTTCTGCTGCTTTGACTGCGACTGTGTCTTGGCTGGGGAGATCTACGTCATGGTAAACGAAAAGCCTGTCTGCAAACCGTGCTACGTGAAGAATCATGCCGTGGTAAGAGAGTCACGATTTGCCTTCGATGCGTAACTACTATGTACAGTTAGGTGCCCAGATGTGCTTTCCCATATCTTGCCTAGAACAGTGGTTTCTTAAAACACTGTTATCCATAACAAAAAACTACTGGCTTATCCATGCCCCATCCCAGCCTGGTGGTTGTCAGCTAAGTTTTAATCAGAGTAGACTTAATGAAATTAATAGACCCAACAAAGTCATAGATTTGTCGAGTTAGAAGACACTTTATGGGTCATCTAAGCCCAGACCCCCTGCAATGTAGGAATGCTCATTAATGTCAATGTTTAAGGTTGTTGATTTATTGATGTATACTCTTGAATCAAACTTGGTTTAATACCACCCAATGTTTTGTCTTTGATAGTGTTTCCTGTAAGCAATTCATTCACCATCAAGGTCTCCTCTTATCACATGTTTTGTTCAGCATCTACACGCAAACTCTTGGGAATGGCCAGCTTAGGCAAAAAGACTGGTAATATCAGGAATGTGCTGGTGACACACAGCTACTCCCGTTTTGCTCCAGAGTAGGGGGGGAAACTGAGATTACGCTAGTAAGGAAGGGAAGTTTGTATGAAGGTGCCCTATCCTCTTTTCAACTAAAGATTTTGTGCATTGTCCTTGACCACTTTGAGCAGTTTGTGTAAACCATCCCTTTGATTGACCAAAGTTGACCTTGCCACCGTGTTTTCTTCCCAGATCATTCCCATGAGAGGTAGGGGTTTTTATGGCTCTTTTTATGAGCTTCCAGGGGTGCTCCTCCATCACTTGCAATTTCTGCAGAATGCAGAAGTACTATTGCTAGTTTAGGCCAGTGGGAGAGCATGATGTTCGTATTTCATTGCACCTGCTCGCCCTCGATTCAAAGGAATCATTATTGACTTCCAGTGCTCTAACTGTACTAGAGATCTGCATGTCGAACTTCGCTCTGGTGCCTGAATAAATGCAGACAGAAAACAACAGGGGGCTGGGATTTAATTTCATTTGAATAGACCTAATGTACCTTGGGTATAAAACCCCTGGGGCAACTGTCCTTGTCTAATGCTTTCATAGAGCAGTGAGTCTCCTGCTATCTTCTAGACTGGAGTTTTTGTCAGTTTCACTGCATTGTCCAAAATCTCGGACAGCCGCTGTATTTCTTGTGAAGTCCACACAGCATGACCACCAGGGGAGTATCTCAGTGTGCAGTCTTATAAATATTATTCTTTAAAATGCAGTGTCAAAGAATGAAATGTTTTTAAAACATTGTTTAGCATCTGCACCAGTTAGTCCAAAGTTAATTACTTCCTCATTCGGGTTCCTGGGTTTCCTTTGTTCTACTTACAATGCTGCTTTTTGTAGCTTTATTTATTTATTTATTATTGTTCCTGTTTGGTTTTCCCTTCTCTTAATGAGTGTTTTCTGTCTGTAGTTTCGCTTAGCTTTTTTGTGTGTGCTTTTTAATCTGCAGTTCTTAAATTCAGCTTTCCCACTGATAGAGCAGTTATTCATCAGGACACTCTGTCTCCCCTCTTGTTCTGACCATTATCTGAAATGAACTGACTGGAAAACACTTATTTGTGTTTCTTCAGGGCATCTATTTCTCCCCCCCCCCCCAAGAACTTTGGGGAAAAATCTTAACACTCACTGATTCACATTGAAATAGAGAAGTGCAGAATTTAAGAAGTTGCAAAAGGGGTGGCCTTGTTCTCACAGTAGATGAAGCAGTGAGTGTACAACTGCAGGGGGGAAGCTTGCATAATTGAATAACCCTCCATACTAAAACACAAGAAGTGCAAAGTCTTGCATGTATAAAACTAGCATGCCAGAGAGATGGGAGCTCTTTTGGGCACAATCATTCCATTTGTTGTTGTTTAGTCATTTAGTCGTGTCCGACTCTTCGTGACCCCATGGACCAGAGCATGCCAGGCACTCCTGTCTTCCACCGCCTCCCGCAGTTTGGTCAAACTCATGCTGGTAGCTTTGAGAACACTGTCCAACCATCTCGTCCTCTGTCGTCCCCTTTTCCTTGTGCCCTCCATCTTTCCCAACATCAGGGTCTTTTCCAGGGAGTCTTCTCCTCTCATGAGGTGGCCAAAGTATTGGAGCCTCAGCTTCACGATCTGTCCTTCCAGTGAGCACTCAGGGCTGATTTCCTTAAGAATGAATACGTTTGATCTTCTTGCAGTCCATGGGAAACTCAAGAGTCTCCTCCAGCACCATAATTCAAAAGCATCAATTCTTCGGTGATCAGCCTTCTTTATGGTCCACCTCTCACTTCCATACATCACTACTGGGAAAAGCATGGCTTTTACTATATGGACCTTTGTTGGCAAAGGTCCGTATAGTAAAAGAAATCATTCCATGCTGATTAACAACTGCTTGGAAAGGAAGAGCAGGGTTGCTGAGACTTGGTGCAGGATATCCAATTAAGTAATACTCAAAACAGACCTACTGAAATTTCTTGGACTTGTTACTTAAGTCCATTGCTTTCAGTGGGTCAGATCTGAGCATGAATAGCATTGGCTATCGCCCAGTATATATGTACAGACTTACCTGTAAGCAGAGATGAGATGGTTCAGTTGGTAGAGCATAAGACTCTTAATCTCAGAATCCTGGGTTCAAGACCCAAGGTGGGCAAAATGTTCCTGTCTTGCAGAGGGTTGGACTAGATGACCCTTGTGGTCCCTCCCAACTGTATGATTCTATGAATACGTGGTTCAACTCAGTCTGTAGACTTGCTATCAATATTTTTCTCTCTGCTTTCATGATCCTTCAATGAGGCATCCATCCCTGTGACTTTTCAGTGTGCTTATTTTAGCATTGTAGGAATTTGCATCTCACGGCTCCTCACCTGTAGGATAGACAGCCTGGTTCATCAATCCGCAGTACAGTGTTCGCAGTTTGCACAATATCGCCACCAAGTGGAGGCCTGTGGAAAGCACTCAGTATAGCGGCTCTTGCCACAAGGAAGAACAGGCCAGATCCACAGAATGGGCAAACAGCAGGCTTTGCCTTTTCTGACTGCAGAGGATCCCTTTCTATGAAGGAAAATCCAGTCCTCAGCCTTTACCTTTTCTACATTCCACAGGCAATTTCAAGGCACAAAGGAGAATCCAAGGATGTTGAGTAATGTTGTCATCGTGATAAATTATGTTACAACTGAAGCAGTGTTAGAAACTCAGATATATAAGCTAGGTGCCAAAAGACTCCTTAAACCAGGGTTACAGGATCCCCAGTTGTCACTTTTGGGCAAGACGGCTCAAAAGTCATATTTTTCAATGCGACTTTTTGGATGCTGAAAATCATTCTGATTGTGCAGATAAAATATAACAGGTAGGATTATACGGGATGTGTTGCCAATCTGTGAAAACAGTCAAGGTTGAAGGATCCTCAGGCATGTACCTCTAGGTGGTGGAGGCACCATCCTGGCACCCGGGCATCTTTACTTGGTCACAAGTGGCCAATTTGTTGTTGTTTAGTTGTTTAGTCATGTCCAACTCTTCGTGACCCCATGGACCAGAGCACGCCAGGCACTCCTGTCTTCCACTGCCTCCCGCAGTTTGGTCAAACTCATGCTGGTAGTTTCGAGAACACTGTCCAACCATCTCATCCTCTGTCATTCCCTTCTCCTTGTGCCCTCCATCAGCGGCGTAGCGTGGGTTATCAGCACCCGGGGCAAGGCAAGTAATTTGCGCCCCCTAACCCGGGGCAAGGCAAGTAATTTGCGCCCCCTAACACCTAACCATGGTCATTAATACGCCAAGACGCGCGTCTTTGGGCGTCGCGGCGCAGCCTTCTCGGTCTCCCTCCCCGGCCCGGCTAGTCCCGACGCGGCTTCTTTCTGGCGCGGGGAAGGGGCTTCTTTCTGGCGCGGGGAGGGGGCGGCTCTGGGGCCAGTGCGTCGGCCGGCCTCCGGCGTGGGTGGGGGAGCCCCGTCGGGGCGGGTGGGCAGTCTTGGCGCGCAGGCACTAGAGCGCCGCCGATGGCGCGTTTGGCGGGCTGCGCGCGTCCAGACAGCGACCCGAGCCTGGGCGGCGTGGCGCTTGGTGCCGGAGCCTCCGCCCGCAGCGCCCCGTCGGGAGACCCGGCCGGAAGGAGCCTCGAGCCGGCTGTCGGACGCGGTTGAAGCAGCCAGGGCGGCATGGCAGGCGGCGGCGGCTCCTCGGCGACTCCACGCGGCCAGCCAAGCGCGCTGGCCGAGCCCCGCAGGCGAACGCTGCCCGTCGGTGAGGAGGGGCTGCCTGGCGCGCCCTCCGTGGCCCTGTCGCGCAGGGACCGCGGCGAGCGCTGAGAGCCGCTGCCAGCTACAGCCTGCGCCCGAGGCTCTTCGGCGACTCCGGAGGCAGTGAGCGCGCCCCCCCAGAAGTTGCGCCCGGTGCGGCTGGCACCCCTGGCACCCCCCACGCTACGCCACTGCCCTCCATCTTTCCCAACATCAGGGTCTTTTCCAGGGAGTCTTCTCTTCTCATGAGGTGGCCAAAGTATTGGAGCCTCAGCTTCACGATCTGTCCTTCCAGTGAGCACTCAGGGCTGATTTCCCTAAGAATGGATAGGTTTGACCTTCCTGCAGTCCATGGGACTCTCAAGAGTCTCCTCCAGCACCATAATGCAAAAGCATCAATTCTTCGGCGATCAGCCTTCTTTATGGTCCAGCTCTCACTTCCATACATCACTACTGGGAAAACCATGGCTTTAACTATACGGACCTTTGTTGGCAAGGTGATGTCTCTGCTTTTTAAGTGGCCGATAGCCAGGTGCAAAATGCGCCTGGCGAATTTCAAATGCTGAGCCGAAGTCATAACAACATCTGTATTGAATATGCTGGGTTTCGTTGTCTTATAAAGCTGGAAACAAACACATTTTTCATTTCTCTCGTCTCCTCTCTAGGTCTGCCAGGGTTGCCACAATGCTATCGACCCCGAAGTTCAACGTGTGAGTTACAACAATTTCAACTGGCATGCCACCACAGAGTGCTTTCTGTGCTCCTGTTGCAGCAAGTGTCTCATTGGCCAGAAGTTTATGCCGGTAGAAGGAATGGTTTTCTGCTCGGTGGAATGTAAGAAAAAGATGATGTCCTAATGGGAAGAGAACCCGGATCAGGCCAAGTTTTGCTTTACTTCAGAACCCTCTGCATTTCTACTGTATTGGGGCGTTTTTTAAAACAAAATTGAACGTATTAAATGGCAAATTCCAAAGATTCTTTTTTTTAACATTTCTAACTTGATAGCTTTTGATTAAGTACTTCCAGCACTTCTGTATTCTTACTACTTTGTTACTACTTGTTGCAAATGTTACTCACATATAGGGAGCCTGATATTCCTGGTGTATTTCAAAGACTAGATGCTCTAAAGTGTTCTTTTATACACATTTTTAAACAAACTATGTAAAAATAAAACAATGACTTGGTATGTTGTAAATCAGTGTTTCCCAAACTGGGGTCTCCAGCTGTTTTTGAACTACAGTTCCCATCATCCCTGACCACTGTTCCTGCTAGCTAAGGATGATGGGAGTTGTAGTCCAAAAACAGCTGGAGACCCAAGTTTGGGAAACACTGTTGTAAATGTTATACCATACCCCAGATGTTGCTGGACTACAACTCCCTTTATCTCTGACCATTGCCTATGTTGTCTGGAGCTGATGGGCAGTGGAGTCTAGCAACAAATAGAAGGCCACATGTTTTGGGTTCTACCATTTCAAAAAATCTCACAAATACCACAATAAGCTTAGAATCCTTTTCCTGACATGCTTGCTTCATATCTGAGGTGAGATTTTGAATGTGTAAAGTAGCATTCAAACATTTATATTCCTCACTTTCAGTCTGAAACGTTACAAGTCCAACCACTGATCATATTTGTTAGCCTGCTAATTCTGTACAGCAGCCATCAAACATAATTAGGCAGAAATAAATATTTTTAAGCCTTCCTGCTTCCACTGAGCATCTTAAGCAAATGCCCCAAAGCTTTGGCTCCAACCTTTAATATTTGCATTAAAACACTTTCCCTTCTTTATTAGGTTTAAACTGTTCTGTTTTGTTTTGTTTTAAAAGCAGCTGTGGACTTTTTGGTGCTTAGAATGTGACTTGCTCTGAAGTTTCTGTGCCTCTTTCTCTGTCCTCTTCCAATCAGGCTTCTTATCAAGTGTGTCCATTTTGTCTCTTCATTTTATGTATTGTCCAGAATTATAGGCAATAGGAAAGATTTGAATTTGCCCGTGCCTCTGCACATGAATGAGATTTCTAATACATGGCAGCTACGCCTGGAGGCCACAGGTTGTCAACCCCTGGCGTAAACAGTATATAGGCTAATGGGTCTGATTTTGTATAAGGCAGCTTGCAAGCTACTGCAGTTATTGCGATGCTGAAATTTCTTTATAACGAATGTAATAAGGTACATAGCAAAGGAATGTGGGCTCTTGGCTTTGTAAACTATGCAAACTCTTTCCATTCAACTCTTCTAAGACTAAAGAAATGTGTAAACTTATATTCATGCTCTCAAATAAAACTTTTACCAAACCGTTCGCTAGCTTGAAATCTTTCGTTTGCCTCTTGGTAACTGTAATGACAAGGCTATTCCAGAAGGGGGTGATAGTTTCAAAGACAAAAAAAAAGCGTTCTGACCAATTTGAAGCTTTCGATAATACAGTTGTGAAGAAAACAGTGTTTTCTCTTCCATAGATTTAAGTGCTTAATGGTCTGTCTGGATAAAACTGGGCATTAGACTCTTAGCTCTGTAAATTTGTTTCTTGAAGCTTTGCATTAAAATCTCTTAGAGGGCATGTGGTGTTAGCAAATGTGACCCATGGCAATGATTCAGTGGTTTTAATACATATATTCAGAAATAGGCATACCTAGTAGGTTTCCCATGTTCTTCTCGGACCAGGCGTGGTGCTTCACACACCTACCAAGAGGTGAGGGTCCTACATCCATGCAGAGTTTTCTTACTTTTGCTGGGGGGGGGGGAGGCAAAACAAAACCAGAGACTTCGAATTGCTCAAACGATAGCACTTTTTGGACCCTTGTATCACCTGGCTCTGGTAAAATGGAATAGTAATAAAAATGAAACCTTTACAACGGACGTTGTTAACTGCAAGAGGAAACAAGGTGCGATTATTTTTCTGAACAGCTAACAATGCAAGAATTATTTTTGCATTCCTTTGTGCTTGCAGGAGATTCGTCTGAAAACCTAGGCACTTAGAAGCTAACAATAAGATTAGGCTCTTCTTTTGCAAGCTTTCCAGGAACAAAAGGTAAAAGTAGCTTTTATAGTTCAAAGGAGCTAAGGCCTCAGGTGTAATTTATCCCAAGATACACCAGACTCACAACTACTTATTTGTCTTAAGAAAAGCTTGATGAAACCTTTTCATCCAGAAAAGCACACTGGGCAAAAGATGCTAAACAACTACAGTGGTACCTCTGGTTAAGTACTTAATTTGTTCCGGAGGTCCGTTCTTAACCTGAAACTGTTCTTAACCTGAAGTACCACTTTAGCTAATGGGGCCTCCAGCTGCCGCCGCGTGATTTCTGTTCTCATGCTGAAGCAAAGTTCTTAACCCGAGGTGCTATTTCTACGTTAGCTGAGTCTGTATCCTGAAGCGTCTGTAACTTGAAGCGTCTGTAACCCGAAGTACAACTGTACTGGACACCACAAATGGCTTCTGGACAATTCTGTACCATTTTAATAACAATAATAATAAATAATTTATTATTTATACCCCATCCATCTGGCTGGGTTTCCCCAGCTACTCTGGGTAGCTCCCAACAGAATATTAAAAACACAATAAAACATCAAACATTAAAAACGTCCCTAAACAGGGTTGCCTTCAGATGTCTTCTGAAAGTCAGATAGTCATTTATTTTCTTGGTAACTGAAGGGAGGGTTCCACAGGGTGGGCGCCACTGCCAAGAAGGCCCTCTGCTTGGTTCCCTATAACCTCACTTCTCACAGGGAACTGCCAGAAGGCCCTTGGAGCTGGACCTCAGTGTCTGGGCTGAACGATGGGGGTGAAGATACTCATTTAAGTATATTGAGCCGAGGCCATTTAGGACTTTAAAGGTCAGCACCAACACTTTGAATTGTGCTTGGATACGTTCTGGGAGCCAAAGTAGGTCTTTCAGGACCAGTGTTATATGATCTCAGTGGCCACTCCCAGTCTAGCTGCTGCATTCTGGATTAATTGTAGTTTCCGGGTCAGCTTCAAAAGTAGACCCACATAGAATGCATTGCATTTTAAAGAACGTTGGTCAGTATTCAAATAGTTGTATAAAGGTAAAGGGTCCCCTGACCATTAGGTCCAGTCGTGAGCGACTCTGGGGTTGCGGCACTCATCTCGATTTATTGGCCAAGGGAGCAGGTGTACATGTGGCCAGCATGACTAAGCCATTTCTGGCGAACCAAAACAGCACACGGAAACGCCATTTACCTTCCCACCAGAGCAGTACCTATTTATCTACTTGCACTTTGACGTGCTTTCGAACTGCTAGGTTGGCAGGAGCAGGGACCGAGCAACGGGAGCTCACCCCGTCGCGGGGATTCGAACCGCTGACCTTCTGATCGGCAAGTCCTAGGCTCTGTGGTTTAACCCACAGCACCACGCACGTCCCGTAAAAAATAGTAGTATACATAGACAGAAAAGAGAGTTAACCCTATAATAAATAACCCTATTATTATTTATTATTATTTGTATACTGCCCTTCTTCTGAAGATTATAGGATGTTTATCCTGTAACTTACCTATGAGATTAGGCTGAAAGGCAGTGACTGGCCCAAGACCACCCAGTGAGTTCCATGGCCAAGTGGAGAAATGAACTACCTTATATTCGAATCACTAACCCACACTGGCTCACATCCATCCCACTAAATATCCATATTGATTTTTAATTGTCTTTTATTGCTTTTTTAATTTTTTGGTATGTGTGTGTCTGTGTATGAAATACAATAAACAAGAAATAAATAGCCGTTTATGAGAAATAAAAGCAGCAATAAAAAAACACCTCACAGCACCTAGCACTGTGCATTACAACAGGCAGAGAAATCAAGCAGTCCGCAAAGACCCTCAGCAATTATCAAGCGGTCCGTGGCTTTCAAAGTTTGGGAACCACTCATGCAGGTCATAAGCGACATGAAATGAAAGCAAAGGATTGGCTGGGTGCAGAGGAATGGTGTGGAAACCAGCAGGGGAAGAAGGCTCAGAGCCCAGGGAGTGGTGGTGGGACAAGGATGAGTAGTCCGAGGAAGAAGAAAAAGACTGTGAAGAGGAGGTGCCAGAAGCTTATTGAGATGGGAGAGTCTGTGGAAGAAACAAGTCCAGATTCAGAGGCAGAAGCAAGAGGGTGGGAGGAGAGAGACCATGAGGCATAGGTGGGTCAGGCTTGTGAAGAGGCTGAGGTGTCTTCCCCCTCCTGATCTGACATGCTCCCCTTCCCCCTTGTCTCCCAGAACCAGAAAAGGCATGAAAAGGGTAGGTGAGAGGTTGGCCACACACAGGGACAGTCTCTGATTGCTTGGGGGGAAACGCTAGAGAGAAGGGAACATAAGCGGCATTTCAGAAACAGGGACCTTCAGTCTCAGAAACTGCTTCATGAGGGCAAGACTTATTGGAGATTAATGGCTGTACTCATTAGGCCTGACACTCCAGTGCAGATCTTGTTGTTGCTAATAAAGAGTCAGAATCATAGAGTTGGAAGGGACCACAAGGATCATCTCATCCAAACCCCTACAATGCAGGAATCGTTTGCCCATCATGGGGCTTGAACCCAGGATCCTGAAATTAAAAGTTTACTGACTGAGCTATTTGGACTAACTCCAGCTTGCACAGTGTGATTTACTGCTGGCTCACTCCTAACACAGAGATTAGAGGTCAGGGCATCAGAAGAAGAGTTGTCTTTTTTCAGATACTGTGGTACCTTGGATCTACGAACTTAAGCTGTTCTGGAAGTCCGTTCTTAAACCAAAGTGTTCTTAAACCAAGGTGTGCTTTCCCATAGCAGCGGGGGACTCAATTTACAAATGGAACACACACAACAGGAAGCGAAACATGTTCTGCTTCCAAGGCAAAGTTCACAAACCAAAACACCTACTTCCGGGTTTGCAGCGTTCTTAATCCAAGTTGTTCATAAACTAAGCTGTTCTTAAACCAAGGTACCACTGTACTTTTTAAACCACTGCAGGGAGCAGATGGTAAGAGACAGGTGCAGATGTCAGAAGGCAGAGTGTTCCACAGAAGAGGGATTCAAATGAAGATCCTTTAATTTTGTAGCTGAAGTATTTTTAACAGGGAGGTGGTAACAACAATGTTGTTGTTTTTTAATACCTCTATGGGGGAAAAAAAATTAAAACTCCACTAACATACTAACCCATTTCCTGACCACCAAATTAAAGAGAATTCCTGCCTCTCCTTTAAATACTTGGTGCAATTTCAAGCACAGAATGGCAAAGCACAATGTGAAGCTTATA